GAGGAGAAATGACTCAGCAAAAGATAAAACAGCTGAAAGAGTTTCTAAATAGGCAAGTTAGACTTTTCAGGAAGTTTACCTTTTCAGCTGAGCAAGAACGAACTATGTTCAATTATCTTGCCGCTATTTGGAACTCTTGCTATATCCATATATACTTAAAACTAATTTGTTCTGCTTTCTTATGCGCAGCGAGTCTCAACTCATTCACGAATCATGCGTAAATGTTCTCTCAACTTCCCAAAAACCAGAGCTTATAYGAGCAACACTCTCTGCAGTGCATGCCTATCTTTCTTGGATTCCGTCTCCCCATTTTTTTGACCCCCCCTTGGTAATATATTCTGGATAAGAGCGGTTAACAAGCCTCTTAATTACGATATCCCCATTACTGATCTGGTTATGCGCAGCTGGAGACCCTCCTTCAGCACTTCTCTGTGGAGGCACATAAGAATCTCGCTCTTCAATGTCTGTCAGAGGTATGCCGGTTTGTAGTTCAGATTTTCCTGCTGTCGCTATTTCACTGTCATTATCTAATGACTTATCTTTTTCCGGCAGGTTGCAGCACGTAATCCTGGGGACTTATACAACATGCGATATGTCAACATGTACAGCGAATTCATCACGATGTTGCAGGTAGTGCTGTTTATCTTTGTTTTGTTACTTCTATTTGTTTTCTTGGTCTTGGTTCATTGATGTTTCTACTATATGAGTTTCACTTTTATTTTGTTAATGTAATCTATCTGGTCGTTTATCCGTTCTTTACGGTATCCGAATTTCATGTTACTTTGGCTTCTTGATTTATCCCCATACTTGTTTATGTCTGCAGGCAATCCTTCCTTTGGATACAGATATCCCTGCGGCATATTCAACTGGAACTAGTGAAGATCAGGCATGTTTTTTCTGTGCATTACGTTCCGGCCATGCCATTCTTTCTTTGTAACCTTTCGAGATAATGTCTGTACATCTTCTTTACCMTCTAGGCTTTTATCCAGAACTTGGCCCTGTTTTTCACTTCGTTTTTCAAGGTAATTCTCTTTCTTTGTTGCATCAGATATGTTATGTGGTTCTTCCTGGAACTTTAGGCTTCAGATGTCCAACCGAGGGATGATTGTTTACATTTTCCTTTTCTAGTCTCTTTTTCTTTCATGTATTCTATGCATTTTAATCATAGTAATGTGATTGACAAAAAAAAAAAAAAATCATAGTAATGTGCTCTATGTTATTTGTTTACAGTTACATAAACGAATCCTAGAATCTGCTCCCGAAAATGTTCTTTTGTTACGTACCGGTCTGGAATATCTCACTCACATATCATATGTTGATGACAATGTAGTATTTAAGGTATGTGTGTTATAGTTGTTAATACTTTTTTGCTGTTTATGTTAGGAATGACCTCATGTTATTTGTCAATTATGTGGAAACTGACAGCTTCTGCTTGCTTACGAATGAACAGGTTTGTTTGGCCTTTYGGGATCCATTAGTTTTGGAGTTGTGTGAGTCGCATCATCATGCTGAGCACTCTGCACTGATTACACGCCCGTTTGTATTGATGGTATGAATTTTTTTCTGTTATGAATTCACTCTGCATCATAATGAGTTCTTTTATAAGATGGAAACTACGGTTGTCTATTGTACTGGTTGAATTTGCTTTGATGTGGTTACTCACCTTGGGCCTTGATTTGCCTTCTGTCAGATGAATTACTTTCAAAAATTTTGTGGCGGCACAGAGCGGCAAAATATGTATTCTCATATATTGTCAAGGTTAAGGAGGCTCATGATTAGTCGCATGACTAAGCCTGAAGAAGCGCTAATTGCTGAGGACGAAAATGAGAACATTGACCATCTCGAGTATAAGGTACCTACTGTACATATATGGCTTATCTTCAGTTATATATATAGATATACTAGGTCCTCCACTCATGGCATAGATTTATACATAGTTATTAACCAAAGTATACTATGAAATATAATTTTTAATAATTTACGAACTGTATATATTCATGATTGCTTAAATTTCACAATTTTTTCTTTATCTGTTACCTCTTGTCTATTAACATACTAAACACAAACTTCAATGCAATAAAAATTAACATCATAACTATAAATGGATG